TTTCATTCCACTGAATGGTCAGAAAGTCTAAGAAAAGGGGGAATCTGATGGCCACAACACCGAAGTGTCAAGTGGCAGTCACAGCCATGGAAAATCAAAGCCCCTGCCCCTTTTTTATACGCATCACAATGGATGTAAAAAAAGGTGGGGCTTCAGTCACATGGTTGTAGCCACCATCTTGACTCATTTTGTCCCTTCCTTGCAGACATCCCTGCCACAACAAAATATTTGGGGGGCTGTACGTTGCCCATCTCTATTTAATAATACATTTTGAGATCTTTAGACTACGATCAGTTTACGATATAATGTAGATAATCCAGGCTGCCAATAATTCTTTGGGAGTTTAGTATTCCAGCCTCTCATCTGATTAGCCCTGTATCTGCTGGGATGTAGACCATCCAGAGCTCAGGGAGGAATGGGTGGACAGAAAGGGAAAGAAAAATTAATTTTGGGTATTACAGCTTCTATTGCAAGACTTTATCTTATTTTTTTTTCTCATGATCATTTTCATTTTGGAGGTGGATCAGTTGCCTTTGGAAGACCTCTACAGCGTACTGGGCGAAAGCCAGTCCCTGCATTGGGATGTCCTCCTCCAGCACCCAAGATGGGTAATCCCTGTCAGGCAGTGTTCAAAGATAACAAAATAACGCCGTTCTCACAAACTGTTTACTGGAATGAAAAGTCAAGCAAGGACTGTATTAGCTTGTCGCAGTAATAACTTCAAAGCTTATAATGAACATAAGGAAAGTTGGATATTGTTTGTGCAGGTTTGGTTTGGATTATATTATAGCCACTTCTCATTCCAGCTTTTTCATTTTGCGAGAATGAGATGGAAAAACTGTGGGGGCCCAACATTGGACCTTTATGGGGATGTTTGGGATGCGTGCCTCCCAAAGTCACATTTCTGAAGTTGCAGATAGTCAGATATAAGGGGCAGGGGGCACATGGAAGAGGGGATGAAACAGGTGGTTTAATGTGTCAGGTAACTGTGAGATCTAGAAACTTGCTCCTCACAATTGTGTTTTTAAATCTCTTCAGGGTTCCATATTAGTCACCAAATAACACAGAAAGGATTTTGATTCCCAGGTTCCAACTCAGATTAATAAAGTGGAAATGTAATGTTTGAGGCAAAGGTAGTATGAAGTAATATATCTCATTGTTAGAAAAAAGCAGTAAAGACTTATGCTGATGCCCAGTGAGAGTTCCTTTATTTATTAAATAGATTTATTTAAACATTTTTTCACTTGACTAAGTCATCATGATAAAGTTAAGTAGATCTATAAATATATATTTTGGATAATTGTGGGTCTTAGGCCTAGAACGATGAAGGTAACTAACTCCCGAGTTTGTGTAAGTAGTTCCCCTTTGGGGCTGTGATTTTTGCCTCTATATTTCAAACCAGAATTGCTCAATCCAACAAGAGGTAAGAGGAGCAGTTAAGATGACATGTTCAATGTGAAGAAATCAGCCAAGAGGAAATTTAAGGAAAATACTGTATAAACCTTGATGGGTTCTGAATGTGCTGCGATACTGAGATCTCCTTTTTGACAGCTCAAGAACCAGCACCTTCCAACGCTAAGGAGGAAGAGTCTCCTCTTTTGAAGTTGGTATCCCTGCAGAATGCAGATGGCTCCTGGCCTCATGGGTCTGCCCTAGCCACCCTACTAGGCCTGAGTGAGGCTGAGATCTCAGACAAAGCACCAGCCCATGTAAGTTTGTGTAAATTTTGCAGCATAAGCTGCAAAAGCTTTATTCATTTGATTGTTGTCTATGGTTAGAAAAGGCTGTACTGATTCACTGTTTGGAGGAATGGACTGTAGAATTAGGTTGATGGTAGGCACCCTAGAACCCTCCAGATGCATTGTCATCCGGATGTTCTGGAGGATACTAAATTCCAGACTCTGAACTAACCGAGCTGTTACTAAAAATGTCATGGCATTGATAGAGTGTAAAATAGCCTGCTTGTGAATACAGGAGGTATCAAAATAGGTGGAGACAGGCCAATGTATGCTTCCCCTGCCTTTAATCCCTGATTTTATCATGATGGGGACTGGAAGGGCAGAACCACCTTATGCAATCTCTTCCCCTAAAGCCTCTAACATCTTAACTTCAAGATTTCATACGTAATATAGAGCATTTAGATGGCCAAGCAAAGCTCTCTCTGTGGTGGGATATGGAGTGGAACAGGAATGGAAGAGATGGTTGCCAATAAACAAAGTTAGAGAGGTAGCAAAGTTGCCTTAACTGAGTGTCATTCAATGGAAAATGTAGAACTGAACTGTTATCAATGAAAACCATTACCTTCTTCAACACATTGTTTTGTATTCTGTGTAACAGCTTGTATCTACAATATGATTTAGCTATTAAATAGTTACTTTTAACCATCATCTGGCCAAATATTATGCATGCCTGCACAGGAGCAGTATGTAAGTCTCATTCAACATCTTTCTCACACCATCACTCTCAGGTGGCCCCAAACATATGGGCCACGGTGCTGGCTATCCTTGGGCTTCATAGGAATGCTGCAGAGCAGAAAGATGAGTGGGAACTGCTGGAAGGAAAAGCTGTCCATTGGCTCCAATTAAACACAGGTGAGATACTGTGGACAGCCGGTCAAGAGGATCCAATGCTGGGATAAGAAATTGT